TTTTTTACACAAGAAAAAAGCCTCAGGGGCGCAGCCGCCGTCAGCTCCGATGGGGGAGCCCGCCAGCACGCCGCGCTCGAAGGTGCCCTCAGCGATCGTCCGTTGCGCGCGCGGCTCAGGAGTCACGCGGCGCCTCGCTGCCTGGAGCGGTAGACCCCCCACTTGCTCAGAGCCAGAGAGAACTTCGCGTTGGCCACCGCGCGAGCCCACCGCTCGTGCGTTATCGGGAGAGCGGGAGACGCGGCCCAAGGCCAACTTGCCTTCCATGGCGAGGTAATGGATATCCCCACCGACGGTGAGATCCTGACTGGCCCAGCCAGGCAGCGGTAGATATGGGATCCCGCTGGCTCCGCAGTGGAAGCTGAAGCCGCGGTCTACGCAGAGCTCGCACGCTGATATCGCGCTCGGAGCTTCCGTCCAGCACGACAGCGCTCTCCACGATTCCACCCTGGAGCTCGTCACAGGGTTATACTTACGGCGCTGAGGACTCGTGACTGTCCTCTGGTCGCCTTGAGCGCGACGGGGTCGGCCGGGGGCTCCGCCCTGCCCATCAAGCCTGCTTCCATTCAGACTTGGCCGCGACCAGATGGGCCCCGCCCCCCGCGTCGATGATGATCCGCCTGGATCCAATCTCGACGCGGCCGGCCCAGCCTACTTCCACAGCCGCCTCCCCAGCGGGCGCGGCTGCGCAGTTGCCCTCGCGCTGGCCTTCGTCATCAATCTTGGCCATTCTCAAGACCCCGCCACCGGTCAATCTACGTGCGCCAGACCTCTTGTTCGAGGGCAGCAGCCGCGCCCTGCGCAGGCAGTTAGTGCACCTTGACCTTGCGCCCCCTACCTCTGGCCCGCCCAGCTGGGGAATCAAGGCGACCCCCGGGCGCGCGCGGCGTCTCCCGAAGCCGTTCCCCTCGCGAGGCCCCGAGAGTCCCAGTGGCCAAATGCTGTTGCGGAGTCAGCGCGCGCCTTCCTGCGCTTCGTCGCACGGCGACGCCCGCGCATCCCAGCACCTTCGCGGAGGGCGCTCCGCCCCAGCCGCCCGTTAAAATGCCGCCAGCCCAGGCGCGCCCAAGAAGTCGAGCAAAAGCCGCGTCGCCCCTGGCGCCCTCGCATCGCGGAGCAACGCGATTCACGACTGGCGCAGCCACATTGGTGCGCATTTGGTTAGAAAACCCGCGACGGCAACAATCCCATCGGCAATGCGCGGGACCCTGGCCCCGCGCGAAATTGCGGGGGCAGCGAGCCGCGCCCCCGTCTCATCGCAGAGAGGCGAGAAAGCCCCCCCCCCCCCCAGCGTGGACCGACGCCGACAACGCAGTTGCCAGACGCCAGCCCACGGCATCTCGGATGACCTGGAGCATCCGCGCGGGCCCTGCAGCTCGCGCCGCAGGGGCGCGTCTGTCCGGCCAGGTGTCTCCAGCATTGCCTCTTCTCCTTGTCATTGCCCTTCGCTGTGCCACCTTTGTTCTTGCCGTCGCCGGGCCCGCTGGGGGCCGCATTCTTGGCGGCGGCGCGGCTGCGGATGCCTGGCCGGCGCTCCGCCTGCGCGGGGCGGGCGAGCCCGCCTCCTCGAGGTCGGCCTCGCCCTTGACTCTGGGCACCTCCTCGATCTCCGTGGCATCCCTGCGCCGCCAGGGGCGCCTGCCCCAGGGGGGCCGGCGCGCCCCGCGACTGGGCGCGCAACAGAGCCCGCCCTCGGCGGAATGCCCGTCGAAACGCGGCTCTGCGACCCCTGCCTCGCACCGTAGCCCCCGCTTTTCCACGCCCCCTGGATTGAGCGCGCCCCCCGGCTTCCAGTGGCGTTAGCCGAGTGGCCCTTCTCTGACTTCCAATTGTCTTCTTCCCCATTCATTCCCGCTCTCGCCAGCCAGGGCAGCCGCGGGCGTTCATTCACCTGCGCAGCACGCGCGAGCGCGGGCAGGCCCCCCCTCACACGAACGCGCAGCGCGCCACCGACTTCTCGAGGCGGTTATCCATCATGCGCAGTGGGCCCGCGACCGCCGTCGCCGTCGCCCCCTCCGCCGTAAGCCACCGGCGATCATTCGGATGCCACGGCATTCTGCCCCATCTCCATGCAACGGAGCACTCGCGCAATCTCAGCGCCATTTGCCTCGGCCTGAAGGCGCGCGGCAGCTCGCAGTTGGAATTCCGCCCAGGCGAGCCCTTCCCTCGCCTGTGCCACCTCGCCGTCTCTCTCGTCGATAGCTGCCTCGCGCCCCTGCTCGCCCGCCCCTCCCCGCTCCCGCGCACGCAGCGCCGCGCAGTTGCGGGCGGGCGGGGGGGGGGGGGGCAGTCTGGGCAGAGACATAAGAGGTTGCAACGCTGGCAACTCGACGAGCAACCACGACAGACAGGCATCCAGCATTGCCCGCGATCTCCAGGGCAACAGCGCTCTGGGAACTCTGCGCAGGACACTTAGATTCTCACGCCCGGTGCGTCGGCCCCGGCAGCGCGAGCAGCGGAATTGAGACGCGCGCGAGGCAGTCCTGATGACGCGAGCCCCTGCCGTCGGAGCGAACCTCTCCCTCGAGCGAATTCGGGCAAGGGGCCGTCGCATGGCGCCTCGGACAGTTCCCTCCAGGCGGCCCCGTGCACTCGAGAGGGTCGAAGGACCCGGCGACTCGGGAACATAAGTCCCCTCGCGACCCCTCAGCTTACGCACAGGGCCCCCATTTGTTTTTGGCCGCTTCCCTTTTGGAGATGTCGATGACAAGGCCATCGGTGGCCGAGGCCGCTTGACAGCCGGTCCTCTCGCGCCATCTGAGCCCATCATCTGCGGCGCAACATATTCGGGAGAGGCTGGACCTTCTTCTCCGAGGTTCGATACCTCATCTCGTCCGCCGGCTGTTTCGATGGGCGCATCGATGCAAGAGCCCCTGGCAACGTACATGCCTTCAGCCGTTTGTCCGCCCATCATTGCGCCCACTCTCCCAGCCCCCGGAGTCGGCTTAGAATCATAGATGCTCGGACCGCCAACGGAGGGCTGGCGCTCCTCGTTCATTCGGGAAGACGCGGCGCCGATTTGACTGACCTATCGGCCTCCGACGACATGGAAAAAACGTCGACGGATGGTTTGGACTTACTGACGTAGGCCTGGTTGGCCGACGTTGGTCCAGGGGAACGCGGGGGACCCCGGCTTCCATGCAACGCGACCTCATCCTCCCCCGCACGATGGCCATCCCGCCGGGTATCTGGCCTACCCGCGCCATGGTTCGTAAGCGAACCACGGCGGTTGGCGGAATCCGGCTTGCTGAGATTATGCGGAGGCCCCGCGGCCGTTGCCACTGACGCAGTCATTGGACGAGGCCGCCATCGAGGTGCAATCCCGCCAGCCCTCTGGGCGACAAGCGGTCCAACGAGATCTTCCCCTCCTCTTCCACAACCATTTATTTTCCGTCGGGGAGGGGTTCGCCCCTCCCCCTACCCCCTCCCCTTGACCTGGGCGGGGGGGGCCGCGAGTCGTCAGGGCGTCCAAGATGGCCCAAGGTGGTCCCAAGAGGGCCTCAAAGAGCCAGAAATGGCCTCCAAGGTCGCTCAAGATAACCCAAGATGGCTCAAGATAGCTAACAACATGCCTTCTAAATGGCCCCCAAGAAGGCCACAAGACGGATCCGAGTGCTTCTGGAGACCCCTGTGGACCTCCCCGAGGTGCCCAAATCCTTCAAATACCTAAGGGGAAACCAGCGATGTTGGCCTTCTCGCCTTTTCGCATCCGATGCGCTTTTGGGACCCAAGATCACCCCCAGAGAGCCCCAAGAGCGCCCCAAGAGGCTATCATTAGGACCCACCTTCTTTTCACCGACACCTTCCATGACAGCCCAAAGAGGCCCTGCGAAGCTCACAGAAGAACCCCAAGCCAGCCCCAAAAGGGCCCTAAGAGGGGGCCCTGGTGGGCCCCAAGACGCCCCAAAAGAGACCAAAGAGGAACCCAAGACCCCCCAAAGAGCCCCCAAAGGGCCCCAAGATGCCACAAAGGAGCCCCAAGAGGACCCCGAGACGCCCCCAAAAAGCCCCATAGCTCCAAGAGACCCTCCGATGCTCCAGGATAGCCTCCAACATGGCTCAACACGTTCCTCCCCCTCCTCTCCTTGACTGTTTTGTCTCGTTTCACTATATGCGGCTCTGCTGTCCGTTTCCCGTCAGCTCTCGTGGGACAGGTTTCTGACTGGGCTGGCGGGGACTCGCGAAGCGTAAACAATTCACCATGTCCTGGTACGGTAGGTAGATACGGGCAGACCCGGTATTAGTTCCTTCAACAAGGACCGTATTCGGGTCCGTAACCATGACGTACTTGTTTGGTTCAAACACCCCCGAGGCTTGCGACACAATCGCGAGACCTCGCGGTGAGTATTTCGGCTGATAACCAGCACTCTGCAAAACAATCCCAATATTTGCAAGAATAGAAGCAGCAGGCAATGGCTTATGTGCATGATGTTGCTGTTTCTCACGTTTTTGAATATGACCAAGTAGCGGCAAGTAGCGGCCTCATGTTGAACCTCGGGGTGGGGGACCTCCCCGTCGACAAAGCGTATCATCGTCCGTTAAAAACATGTGATATTGTGAATGTGGATGGTACGCGAGAGCGACCGACTCGGGCGAGGGAAGGGTGCGCGCGCGCTCCTGTCAGTCTAAGGACAAATAGCTGCGAAGAGCATCACAGTGACATACGTATTGTTATAACGACCGCGCCAATAACTCTACATGTTGGCGCTATCAAGAAGAGGCGAGGGGAGCGTTAGTAATGACTCACACGTTTCGGGCGGAACTCGGTGATTGGGGGAGAAAAGTCTCCTGCAATTGTTTTATGCCGCGGTGTGTTTCGACGTGTGGTTCGTTATGATAACCCTGAGCAACAAGGCATCTGCATCTCTTGACTGGTTCCCTTCCACCAGCATGCGCTGGTTCAGCTGGCCTCGTCTTACTCCCGCCGCCTTCCGCCGAAGAACCGATGAGAACGTCTCGCTCCCTCGAAGGCCGAGTCGTTTCGAAAGAGAACGCGGCGCCGGCAGCATGAAAATCTCAACGCCCTGCTTCTTGAAGTTGTCCGCCGCCAGGCAGGTCACCATCACCCCTGCGCGCCGCCGCCGGATGGCGCGAGGGGAGGAGGCCATAGCGGCAGGGAGGATGGAGGAGTGAGGAAGGGAGGGTGAGGGTTCAACCTCCCTCTCTCCCTCCCCCTTCCACACTTCCCTCCCCCCTTCCCTCCCTCCTTCCCTCCCTTCCTCCCTCCTGGAGGAGGGAGGAAAAGCATCCCCCATCCACCAACTTTCTCCCACCCTCTCACCATCATCATCACCATGCTTGTCATCACCATCACCATCATCACCACTATCACCATCACCATCACCATCTCCATCACCATCATCATCATCATCATCAGCATCATCATCATCATCATCATCATCATCATCATCATCATCATCATCATCATCAACATCATCATCATCGTCGTCGTCATCATCGTCATCATCATCATCACCATCATCATCCTCCTCCTCCTCCCTCCTCCTCCTCTCCTCCTCCTCCTCCTCCTCCTCCTCCTCCTCCTCCTCCTCCTCCTCCTCCTCCTCCTCTCCTCCTCCTCCTCCTCCTCCTCCTCCTCCTCCTCCTCCTCCTCCTCCTCCTCCTCCTCCTCCTCCTCCTCCTCCTCCTCCTCCTCCTCCTCCTCCTCTCTCCTCCTCCTCCTCCTCCTCCTCCTCCTCCTCCTCCTCCTCCTCCTCCCTCTCCTCCTCCTCCTCCTCCTCCTCCTCCTCATCATCATCATCATCATCATCATCATCATCATCATCATCATCATCATCATCATCATCATCATCATCGTCAGCATCACCCTCATTATCATCATCAGCATCATCATCATCAGCAGCAGCAGCAGTCTCAGCATCATCATCCGCCTTCTCCTCCACCTCATCATCGTCACCTCGTCGTCGTCAGCGCCGTCATCATCATCATCATCATCAGCATCATCAACATCAGCACCACCAACATCATCATCAGCATCATCATCAGAATCATCATCATCATCATCACCATCATCATCATCGTCGTCGTCATCCGCATACTCCTCGGCATCATCATCGGTATAATCATCAGCAGCATCGTCATCAGCAGCATTATCCCCAACCATAAACACCATCATCGTTATCAACAGTATCACCACCATCATCAACAATCATCATCAGCAGCATTGGCATCATCGTCATTATCAGCATCGTCATCGTCCTCGTCATCATCCTCATCCTTAGCCTCGGCATCATTATCATCAGAAGCAGCATCAACATCAGCATCAGCATCATCTACATAATAAATATCATCCTCATGAGCGTCATCATCATCATCATCATCATCATCATCATCATCATCAGCATGGTCATCGTCACCAGCATCATCATATTCATCACTATCCTCATCAACATAATCATCCGCATGCTTACCAGTACCAGCATCGTCAGATCAGTATTGTTAACAGCATCGGCACCATCATCATCGCCATCACGTTGACCATCACCATCACCATCACCCTCCACCACCACTGCCACCATCACCATCATAATCGGCATCATCACCATCGTCAAAATCATCACCATCAGCATCACCAGCATCATCAACATCATGATCATCATCAGCAGCAGCATCATTATCATTATCATCAGCATCATCACCGCCCTTCCGTCCCTTACATCTCTCTCCTCCTCCTCCTCCTCCTCCTCCTCCTCCTCATTCTCCTCTGCACACTCCTTCACCCGCCGTCAGCTCTCACGTGTCTCTCTCGCTGCTGGCCATCCTCCTCTCTCCCCTCATCCTCGAGCGGGGCGGCTCGCCCATGACGGCGGGGCCCAGCATGGAGACGTGCTGGAGCGCGTGCGCCGCAGCCCAGGTGCGGTGGCAGTTGCTGGCGTCCTGGGAGGGCGGGAGCAGGAGGAGGAGCAGCATTGAAGGAACAGCAGGAGGAGCAGGAGGAGCCGGAGCGCCCACACAGTCTTGGCTCCATCATGGCAAAGGGGCTTCGTGGCCGCGGCGAGCCCTGGCCACCATCAATTTCCCCGACCTGGGCCTACGGAACGGCCCGGAACCAGAGCCCATCCTGACCCAAGGTGGTCCTCATGTGAGCGCCTCGGCTGCAGGAAGAGCAGGGGGGAGGACCAGGAGCGCGGCCATACCCTCTCGCGCCGTAAGGGGATCTCGCCGGAGGGTGTTTGGCCACCATCGGTTTGTCCGTGAGCGCCGACGTCCAGCCGTGCCGCGGGGCTGGCCGCGGAGATCGCGAACGGCTGCCTTGCCAAGATGGCCACGTCGAGCGATGAGGTGGAAGAAGAGAAGAACATGGACGGGGCGGAGGACGAGGTGGAGCACACGGTGGAGGCCGAAGTGGGAGGACGAGGTGGGCGACGGGGGTATGAAGGACCTGGAAGTGCAGGACGAGGTCAAGGGCGTGAGGCGGGAAGTGGTGCAGGAGGCGCAGGACCAGATCCAGCTGCCAAGATCCAAGCCGCTGGCGTGCCCAGCGGAGCAGACGCTCAAACCCTCGAAGGCGCCACCGCTCCCTTGAACCAGGCGCTGGTCATCGCGCGTGGGCCCTGTAGGGCGGGGGACGCGCCAACTGACACTCTGGTGGGGACACCAGCACGCCTCCACACGGAACTCAAGAGCCTGGAGAGTGCCACGACACAGAGGGAACGACGCCGAGCGACAGAGCGGGGGCTGCGGAGAGGCAGCGGGCACGAAGGAGAGAGGGAACACTGGCGCAGGCACCACTGGGCAAGCGCTACAGACATCGTGCTACAAGCTTGCCATCGCTCGGACGTCCATTCCCCATGCTTGTTTCGGTTTCGTGCGTGTATTTGCTCACAAGATGGCCCAGGATGCTTCTCGATGGTCCTCGCAGAGAAAACGAAATGAAGGAACGAAGAGGCGTTCCTTTCCACAGCGAGGCTCGGCCACGAACAGGCGCTCCCCCCCCACCCAGGACCCAGAGCTCGGGAACGGCCCCCCAAAACCCTGGCCCCTGCTGAACCCGACAAGGTATACTTCTTTCATCGATGAGCTAGACGAAGCGATGAGGCTGGATCTTGCAGCGACTCAGCGTGCCGCGGTCCTCCTTCCCGTTGGTGGGCAACTGGAAGACGAGCAGGTTGGTGGTGATGACAAGTAACACCTCTGGCAGACTCGAACAGCAATACTGCAATTATCCCTCTCTCTCGATGTTCCTCCCCATGCTACACGTTTTCCAACTTCATCTCCCCACCTGCTCCTGATCCTTCTTTCCGTGATGATGCTGGCAGTGCGTCTGCGAATACATGTGATCTGCGTCCTCAACTATTTCGGCAAGGCCGAGGGTAGACGGGTAGACGGCGAATGCCTCGCTTCAGGTTGAAATCGGCTGGGGTGCCCGAATGGAACACACTCCGACAGGCTGGCCACCCATTACAATGCATCAAAGCGCGAAACGCAAAACTTGAACAACAGACGCAGCAGTTGGCCGAGGACGATTGCACGCATGTGCAAGTCATACAAATGGTCGAGGGAGAATACTGACAAGTGCCACTGGAGTAACTAACATACATGAGGGTAACCGCGCCTTGATGTGTCAGTCGCGTTGGTCTACCCTCCTGATCTCGCGCCGTAATCATACTCAGCGTGAATCCCAGCGGGACCAGCATCACCACCATCGTTGCCACCGCCAGTTTCAGTATCGCCTCTGTCGTCGCTTCCACCACAGAAACGGGAACATGCCATAAAACACATAACCCTACTCTCAATTCCTTCTCCTTATCGATAACTTCTCCCTGCCGCACCCCGAAGCCAGTTTTTAGGGCGGGCCAGGCGTTTCGCCTGAGACCTCCTCACCACTGATGACCCTGAAGCTTAAAAGGTGACAGCAGTTTCACGGATTGAAGGCGGGTGGTTTTCAAAATGTGGCTCTCGCCTTCGCGCCGCGCGCATTCTTTGTTAAAACTTGCAAGAGTTTCACGGATTGAGGGCGGCTTCTTTTCGAAAGGTGGCTCTCGCCTTCGCGCCGCGCACATTCGATTCTAAAAATTGCAGGAGGTTCACGGATTGAGGGCGGGTGGTTTCCAAAATGTGGCTCTCGCCTTACCGCCACGCAAAGTCGTTTTAAAATTGCAAGAGCTTCACGGGTTGAGGGCGGATCGTTTTCAAAATGTGGTTCTCGCCTTAGCGCCGTGCCGCCGTTTCACGGATTCCCATGATCAACGCACCATAAATTGTGTTTGGGAAGATTCAGGATTATGCGGGCGCAACAATTATGTTGACTCGATGTGCTGAAGTCCCAAAAATGGCGTTCCGGCACGATTCTGGAACGTCAGGACGCAGCAGTCAGGTGGATACGTGGCGTTGAAAGCATGAGAACAATGTTTTGGCACGCTTCAGGATCTTCAAACTGTTGTCTTCCAACGAGGCAATCCCCTCCATGGAATTGAACCGTTGTAGGGGCCTGTGAAGTGGGAGCTTGGAGGGAGGGCTAATTCCAACCTCGTTGATGACTCTTGGGTTTCCACTGGTTCTTCCGCCTCCTCCGCCTCCGCCTCCGCCTCCTCCTCCTGCTTGTTCTGCTTCTCCTCATCCGCCTCCTCCTCCTCCTCCAATGCCCTGCAGCAGCGGGCGCGCACCAAGTCCATGGCTGTGGCCCCGATGACAAAGACGGCGAAGATCCGGACACACCCAACTGCTTTGAGTGGCCAGGCCAGCGCGGTCACGGCAAATGCGGAGGGAGAGGAATCGCGGAAGGACGAGAAAGAGAGATATGGAAAAAAAGAAAGAAATGAAGAAGAGAAGACGGAGGGGGAGGGAGAGAAGAAAGGGGATGGCGAAGGCCTCTCCCCCTTCTCATTTTCCTCCTCCCTCCCCCCCCTTCCTTCATCCCCCTGGTAGCAAGCATCGACAACAAATGACAGCATAGACAGCAAATGAACCTACGAACATCACAACCTGTCAGGTGCGCCCAGAACTTGCACTACGCTCCTGGCTTTCGATGGCACTCACCGTGCGCCACCTCGTCGCAAGGGTCCATCCATATGACACCTAAAAACAATCGATTGGCCAATTGCCCCCAACGAAAAACTGACAATTGCCCCGCTGACGCGCGCCCGCACCATGTCATTGTAGCGGAGCGCCGTGGGGCTCGTACTTCGAGCACTCCAGGGTCGCCCGGTTCTTAACGGCCCAGACCATCGACTTGCCACATTGTTTTGGGCGGCGCGGGGCGCCTCAGGCGTGTGGCCCGTGGCCATCTGGGAAGCCAAACCAGCCATTCCCGACCCCAACGTCCCTCGAGAACCACCCAAGGAGGAGGAGGAGGAGGGGGAGGAGGAGGAGGAGGAGGAGGAGGATGAGGAGGAGGAGGAGCAGGAGGAGGAGGGGCAAGAGGAGGAGGATGATGAGGAGGAGGCAAGAGGAGGAGGAGACAAGGTGCGCTAAAAACAGCTGGGGAACGTGCGGTGACCAAAGAGGGCCCGCCCTGGGGCTCTCTTGGGGGCCTCTTGGCCCAGTTCGGAGGCCAAGGGGGGCAAGCTCACGAGGCACAACTCCCTGAGAAAGTCTGTTCGATCATTTTCGCACCCGGCGGCTCTCAGACCGTCCAGGACGGCTGGAGGGATCCCCAAGACGCGCCCAAGAGGGCCTCCCGAGCCCTCCGGCCCAAGAGAGGAAACCCGAGCTGCAATTGCAAGCCCTCCGCCCCAGGATGGACCACGAAACAGCCAGCGGCCCCCACAGGGGGCGCCCAGGAGGGCCCCAAACAGTCCACAAGAAATCACAGGAGGCCTCCGAGAGGTCATCACGAGGTCCAGTCGAGTCGCTCGTCGACGACCCGGTCACAGCAGAGGGATGAGCCGAAGGCCGCTAGATTACACTACGCGCGCGTGCGTCCCATGCGACCGTCGCTGTTCGGGGACAGGCGGACAATCACACGTACTTCCTCACAGAGTCCGTCGCCGCCTTGGGGTACCAGCTGCGACACATGTTGGGTTCGAGCACGGTTTGGTCCAGAGGCGGGCGCGCGCCTCACTTGGCGCGCGACAGCCCGAATTCCTGCGGCCGATGGCTCCAGCTCTGTCACGGTACGGGCAGAACGAAGTAAGATGAACCTCGCTGCCGTAGCGCGCGCGTACGTCCGCAAGCCGCAAGCATTTGAGCACGAGCGCTGTCTCGGTCGCTGTGAGTGACAGCCGCGGATCGCATCTTTTTTTCTCCTTGGGAGAAAAAGGAGGCGAGGCGAGGCGAGGCGCCGGTCAGTCGTCCCGGCGGGGACGGCCCTACGAGAGCCCGGCGGTGGCGCCGGAGCGCCGAGAAAGAACCTTAGTCGAAGGGGAAGGAAGGAGGAGGAAGGACTCAGACCGTGAAGTGGGAGTTTCGTACACAATCCCCACAATTGACATAAGCCAGAAATTTCGGCTCCAACGCCGACCATGCTTTCTCGTCCGTCGCAATGTGTATCCACCTTTTGTGGCCGTCGTCTCCCTCGTGTGTAGTGAGTGTGCGTACGAATTGTGTGATTTCGGCATCCATCTTTCCCGTTGTCCTCCGTGGCGTCGTAAGGTTTGGCGTGGGTCGTGGGCATTCGGGGTCCGTTGTAGTGAGAGCCGCGTCCATCTGTCGTAGTCGTGGGTTGCGACGCGCGATGCCCACCGCCACTTCTGTGCGACGTATACCGTAGGCCAGTCCTCTACGCCTGCGCACCGAGCATGCTCTAGGGCTGCGTGCGTCGATCTTCGTATGAATTCTTCCCATGGTTCCAACCCGTCGTCGTCTTCTCTGTCGTCGGCTCTGTCGTGGTGGATGGGGGAGTCTGCTGCGTCGGCGCTGGTCGCTTCGTTGGTGTCAGTGTCGCGAATGTGGTTTTGTACATTGCGACGCCTTGGCATCCCGCCTTGGCATCCTTGGGAGAAAAATGAGGAAAGCTGAAAGGACGAAGCGGACAAAACGGATGACCACACGAGCCGTCAAACTGATACCAGGGCAAAATAAAGAAACACCCACGCCAAAACTGACACATGCTGAAAGTGTGGCCATGCTCTCGGAGCTCCACTCCAAGCGAACAACGGTCGAGACAGCGGGAGGAGGGGCAGGAGGGAATGGCGGATAGCAACGAGAGGTAAACTAAACTCGCGAACGCGATGCCTCACGAAAATGACGGCTACAATGAAAACTCGCGCGTGCGTACCCAATACCTGGCCGGACTGGCGGGACTCGCACTGGTGCCCAACGCGATTGAGGAGGAGGACGAACGAGGAAAGCAGAGAAACGAAACAATAAAACCTGCGGAGAGCCTCAATGCCAAGGCAGAGGAACTGCAACCAGGGGCGGCCAGCGTACAATGCATCATGTTAGAACATGACGCGCATTGCCATAGTTGTTGTTCAGCGATAGGCTGCTGATGTGGAACACACGAGTTCAACCTCATGCCCACCGCCCCGATGCACACAGCCTGCAGGCCCAGGGCCGACAGAGAATGCAGGTTCAGGAGGAGGCCGGCGACCAGCGGTCTCCGACGCCGAAGCTCGGTGGAAGGCGGGGGCCGCCACCCTGCAGCTGCCAGCCTGCGTATGGGGCGGGCCAGCGCAGCGGGAGGACGATCCCGACCGCGCTCAACAAAACAAATGCACATGCATCGGAACAGCCATGCAACTCGCAGACACAGAGGCGGAGAGAGGTGGAATGAGGAGGAAGAACGCCCTCGCCTAGCGTCTCATCGCCAGTGCCAGCCAAGCGACCTGGACAGAAAGGCACTGGAACAGTCCTTAGACGCGGAAGAACACAGCCTCCTGGGCCAGAATTCTCCGCTCCACGACGCGCAGGGGCAGAGGAGAGAGCAAGCGCGGGAGGAAAGAGAGGAGAGAGGACTTCGAATCACCCTTTCTTGCGGCCAGACGCTGAACCGCCAATGATCGCACGCTGGACGAATGCGGCAGTGCAGCAGCGGATCAAGAGGGCCGCTAGCACCAGCTCTACAATGGTACCGAAGAGAATCCTGATGGCCCGGACCCTCCGAGGTAATTAAGCTCCCCAAGTGAGCCGCTTGGCATCATTGTCCAGTGCTGCACTCGGGGGCCAGCAGGACCAGGAGCGAAACACGCAGCTGCAGCTGCAGCTGCGTAGCGGCAGTAAATCGGACAATCGGCCTGCATCCAGCGCGTCACCGCAACGTGAAGGAGGTGGAGGAACGAGGAAGGACACCGCCTTCTTCGCTGCGTGCCAGTGCACGTCGAATCGGGGGTGTTAGGGGCCGAAATGGAATTAGTGATTACCGCGCCTCTAATCTGGAAGCGCGGGGGAACCAGGCGACCCTCGAATGTCCGTCAGTGTCTTCGGCAAAACCGCTGCATTTGCGATGCCACCCTGGTACGACCCCCCGTTGTCACCAGCGCCCGCCCACCCTGGCTGCTCGCCACCTGGAGCAGTTTGTCATGAAGCGCTTGCAGAACGCACCGCACACCTTTCACACAACGCCTTGGCGAAATTAATGAACAGATCGTCCGTTTCAGTCCCAGTCCGCAGCTGATCGTGGCAGTCGACTGCTCCCACCAGAACACGGACCTGCAAATTTCCACCGACCCTGTTGGCGTGTGTGAGACGTTTCTCTGTTTGACTCGTCATCGTCGTCGTCGTCGTCGTCGTCGTCGTCGTCGTCGTCGTCACCGTCGCCATCCCCCCCCTTTCCCTGGGTTCGCCTCCTCAAGCGATCCAGACAGAGGGAAATCGAAAGGAATGTCCTTCCCTGAGATCACTTCCACGCCAACGGGGGGTCCCAAGGGGGGCGCGCAGGGGAAAACTGGGGGAATAGGTGGGCCCATCCGTGGGCCCGCCGCTTGTTGGAGGTCTGCTCATACGGATGATGCGTTGTCTCTTGTGTATCGCACTGCATTGCAGTGCAATCGCAGTGCATTGCACAGATCTGCAATTACGTCGCAGCGCAATCGCATTGCACTGCATTAAGGAAGGGTGGATGGAGAGAGGATGGAGAGGCGGACGGCGAAGGAGTGAGGAGGGAGGGGGCAGGGGGCGAAGTCACCCAATGCCGCCAAGTTGGAAACCGCGATGAGAAAGCCATACAAAACAACAAGTAAATTCGAAATGTACGCTGGCGCAGACGTCCGATCACCGAGAGTGTTCGTCGGAGCCGTTATGGCTTGTTTGTGTTGGGGGACCTGCCTGTTGTTTTTCTGTGTTTGATGTGTTTGTTTTCGTTTGTTCAGACCCCATCCTAACTTTCGAAGGTTCCTGCACGTCCGCGGGCAATGAGACAAGCAGCGCATGATTGTGCGCCCTTCCCCCCCCCCCTTCCGGGGGTGATTCAATCGAATTGATTCTGGAGCCGCGACTGATTAGATTCGACGGCCCTCCTCAAATGATCACTGCGCCACACACAGAGGACGCCCATTCCATCAGGAGGTAACAGTTGGAGCGCCATCCCCGCAGGAGGCACCGATTTCCAACATGTTGCCGTCCCCTGTCTCTCTCACCCATCGTCCTGCTGCCTCTGTTCGCTATGGTCCACCTTTGGGAGAATGATTGCATCTAATCGACCCACACACAACGCAGTGGTGCGCAATTACGGCTTCCGAAAGGAACGCTGTCCTCTTAGCATAGCACGGTGGCTGTTGAGTCAGCTCGGTCCAATCAACCGCTCAGTGGAGGATATCAATGAAGAAGTGAAGGGGGGAAGGAGATATGTACAAGACAAGACAGTACCTGGGCAATTGCTGTCTCTTGCTATTCTATGGTGTGTGCCTTTCTCTGCGAGTCGACTAGAAGCAAACAGTATCCACGTGTCGAATCATAATGCAAAGAGGCAGGAGGACGATGGATGAAAGAGAGACAAGGGAAGGCAATATATTAGAAATTGGTGCCTCCTGCGGGGATGGCGCTCCAACTGTTACCTCCTGATGGAATGGGCACCCTCTGTGTGCAGCGCAGTGATCATTACAAACAGGGTCGTCGAATATAATCCGTCGCGGCTTCAGAATCAATCAGTCTGAATCACCCCCCGGAGGGGGGAGGCGGAAGGGTTCATAATCATACGCTGCTTGTCTGATTGCCCGCGGACGTGTAGGAACCTTCGAAAGTGAGGAGGGGTCTAAACAAACTAAACAATCAAATACAAAAAAAGACAGGTCAAAAGAAACATCAAAACTCCGACAAATAATCGCGGTGATCGGACGTCTGCGCCAACATAAGTTCCGGAATATTTGATTAGTTGACTTTTCAGACCTGTCGATGGTTTTTGGTTTATTGTTTGGTGTTAATGTTTTTTTTCAGAAGCTGTTGCCACATTGGCGGGCAATTATCCTATCTCTCTTTCTTCTCGTTTTGCTACTCTGTGATTTACGAATTGACGTTCATACTGGGGAACCGTGCGCCTGCATGTGAGCGCACATCCGTTGATGCATGATCAAGGCTGCGTCGGTTGAAACATATTTTCGCAACTTCGCCAATTCTCACAACTACCCTCTGTCCTTCGTTCTGCTGCTCTGCCACACCGTACTCTTTCATGCTCTTCCTCCTCGCTTCCCTCCTTGCCAGCCCTGCCCTGGCGTGATTCGTGTTGCGCAATGTGACCTCAAGGGGCGATTCGATCAAATAACTGTTGGCGGTTGATGACAGCGGTGCAGATGATGACGAGCTTCGCGCGTGGACGGTTCGGTCCCCCAACCCAAACGTGGGCTCGCCTATTCCCCCAGCCCCCCCAGGGGGGGCCCAGGGGGGTCGTGACCCCCGCTCGCCGGGGCACGGTCCCCCCTGTGGACAGACGGATCTCAAGCCCCCCCCCCCTCTGCCGCCCCTCCCCCCCCCCCCCCGACCCCCGTGGACAGGGGAGACAAAACTGTGGACGGGGGGAACTCAATGCCCCCGCACCCACCCCCCGGTCCTGCTTGTGGACAGAGGGGACGAGGGGGTGGTCCCCTCCGTGGACACCCCCCCTCCTCCCGGACATCTCACCCACGGAGACGGCCTCCTTACGCTTCTCTGCTCTTGAGGGGTGCTGTGCATTTTCCGACATGCCTCCAAGAGGCCTCTGATCCGCTCCGAGGCGGCTCCGAGTGATCAAGGAGTTCCCCAAGAGAACCCCAAAGAGTCCTCCCAACAGAGCCCTAGAAGCTCCCAAGCGAGCCTCCAAAAAGGCTCCAGAGCGTTAGCGTCGTCGTCGTCGTCATTGCCGACGCCGCCGCCGTCGTCGTCCCCCTTCAGGGTCAGCGGCGCTGGCCGTAAGACCTTCGCAACGCATGTGTTGCTGGCGCCGCTGATATTGCAAGGGTCATGGAGATCCTGTCACCAAAAAAAAATGCATCTGAATCCTCACCATGCTATGACTCGTCGCCACGTTGACGGTACGCGCGCTTTCGACAAGCATTACACGTGCCGCTGGTATGGCGTAGGTGCCAGACTGGCTCGTCCTTACTGTCTGCCTTACGTTTGCGAACGGCCATAAGTCTATCCCGCCCATGCATGTCATTCGTAATTCCTCCCCTGTCCTGGAGACCAGGTTCATTGCCACTCTGACGTCGCCAATGTCGGCAGAAGCACATACAGGTCGGCACCGACAACTGGCACAGTGGCCGCATACACCCTCGCTGCAATGGAGGCACGTGGCCCTCTACATACGCGGTACACTGTTCCTGACACGTGCTGAACGGCTTCGCGTCGCCTGGCGCGGTGCAGACGCGTTGACGCCTGCGCGCAATCAGACTCATCGATTTCAGGCCGTCGTATAGACTTCACCTCTGCGGGGAGTGCGCGCGATTATCATTGCGACCATCGAGTTCGAGCACCCCGTTGTTTGGTTGGGTTTGATGGTGCTCGTCGCGCCGCTGAGCTCCAGCACAGCCTTCATTTGGTGAAGAATGGGGCGATCTGCTGATTCAACGGCCGAAATGTTTCCTTGGGCACATCCTCGGGGTCACACGCGTAGTTCACGGTGCCCGCCGTGCCCACCACCCACTACCCACCATACCGGTGTAACCACCACATCATCACAACTTCCTCACTCGCGTCGTCTAAGACATCGAGAGTAGCAATGACATCCGCGCCCACTCATATCGGGCCAGCCGCCCCGCTGTGGCATCATGGGAGAGTCTCGACGTAGCACCCCTTCAAGCGGGTCCTGAGGGAAAAGGGTCCTGGACCATGGTGCCTTCCCCCAAGACTAATTTTCCATCTTGAGCCGTCCCGGGGCCCGTGGAAGGCCCCGACCCGAGAATCCGAAAACCGCAAAAACGTCAGGACCCGCTTCCCCCATGGCGACCCGCGTTCCTCGGGGATCTACTGAGCCCGACTGATCCAAACCTGGGCCAGCCAGGCCTTGCAGCATCCTGCAAGATCCTGCAGGATCTTGCAGAATCCTGCGCCCTAGCCCGGGGTCAGCGTTGCCCTGGCAATGCAGGATCCCGCAAGATCCGGCGCCCTGGCTGACCGCCATTTACACTGACCCCCGTCTCAAGGCTCCCGAGCTCCTGAACGAGCTCCTGCACTGGCGTCAATCATTCCCTCGTCGGTGGCGCGCGCCCTCCCTCTCCGGCCTCCAAGGAGGGAAGTGTGCCACCACCCCAGGGCCCAACACGAGTTCTTCATGCACCACATCTGCCAGCCGCTTCTCGGGCGGGTGACAATGCAGTGGGGGCGGCCTAAAATCAGGGGGGCGTAAGACCCGGGTACAGGGGACTCGGAAATCCCCGACGAGGTCGTCAAAAAAATGACGAGGCCGAGCCTGCATTTTGACGAGGCCTTCCGCTGCAGACATCCCACGAAACTCCTACTCGTCAAAATCCGAGTCGCGGTCGTCAAAAAACGATGGCGAACCCGAGTCCTGGCAAACCCGGGTCTTACGCTCCCCCGATAAAGGGGGGGAGAGAGAAGGGCCCCGAAGGGGCCCTGTACGCCTCCCTTTTGGAGCCAGCAGGAGTCCAAGAAGGGCCCACAAGGGCACCTTTACGGCCTTTTCGTCATCGAGTCATCCCTCATGTTGGTCACCCCCGTTACCACCCGCCCGGACTTCCTCCAGCGGAACAGACATCCAGGGCGGGCCTACCCGTGGCGATGAGGAGCCCCCTAAGAGAACGAAAAGAAATGCTCCCAAAAAACACAAGTCCGCCCCTGATGATCCTCAGGATCGAGGATCAGGGCCTGGTCCCCGATGCTCGACCATCGGGCTGGGCGAAAAGGGGGGATAGCAAAGGGGGGGATCTGAGAATCAGCTCACGTAGCTGATGTTCCCGGCGCCTCCCAGCGCTGGAGGCGGCCATGTCTCGAGGAATGGACCCCTCGGTGGGGCCGAAACCAGATGCATGCAGCAGATTTCGTGACCCCCCCTTTACTTTTCCCCTCCTTTCGTCCGGCCCGAGACCACCTCTCCCTCGGCCTCCTCCCCTGGCCGCCGGGCGGCGCAGCGGCCGCCGTGCAGGCTTTTCGCCGGCAGCCTAACTGCGGACCCTGGACCTCTACTCCCTCCCGTCCTCCCGCACCTTCCCTGCCTCCCTCCGGCCTCTCCCGCCCTCCACCTCCTCCCTCCACTCCCTCCCTCCCTCCCGCCCCTCCCTCCCTCCCTCCCTTCCGCCTCTCCAGCCCTCCACCTCCTCCCTCCACTCCCTCCCTTCTCCCGCCCCTCCCTCCCTCCCTCGCGCCTCTCCCACCCTCCACCTCCTCCCTCCACTCCCTCCCTCCCTCCCGCCCTTTTCGAGGCACGGGATCCCGGGTGAGGTCTGGGGGGGGGGGGGGGGCGGCGGGCGTTGCCGCGAAGGCGCGCCCGCTGGCCAGGGCGAGGAAACTGTTGCCGTACCCAGCGAGGCTGAAGTTCAGCAAGCTACCCATGCAGTCCCACATCGACACCCTTTGGGCAAGGCGATAGGGGAGGCGCGGGAAGGGCATCCTCCTCCTCCTTCTCTTCCTCCTCCTCCTCCTCCTCCTCCTCCTCCTTCTCCACCTCCACCTCCTCCTCCTCCTACTCCTCCTCCTCCTCATCCTAGTCGCAATCCCCTTCGTCCCGTCGTCGTAAAAGCTGACATGGAGTGCGGGTGGTTTTCCAAAATTGGGGCCACGCGCGTTCGCCTTACACATTGAAAGGTATTCAAGGATGGAGAGCGGCTCTTTTCCGACACGTGGCTCTCGCCTTAGCGCTGCGCACATTCACCTTTGAAACATGCAAGAAATTCAAAAATCCTTATGGTGAACGTCCCGGGAATATTGTTGTAGCACGATGTGGCATTGCCAGGACGCACAAGTCACGTCGATTCGTGATGTTGAAGTCCCAAGGACGGCGTTCTGGGACAATTCGGGATCGCCAGGACGCAACAATAACGTTTGCTCCGCGGCGGTGAAGTCCTCCAAAACAGTGCCAAAACACGGTTGAGGTTTTCCAGACACATGGCACTTTCCGCAGTAAAAACAAGTTCGTCTAGGAACCTATGAAGAGGGAATTTGAAGGGAGGGAAGATTGCAACATCGTTGATGCGTCTTGGGTCTACACTGGTCCGCCTCCTCCTCCTCCTCCTCCTCGTCCTCCTCGTCATCATCATCAGAATGTTTGTCCTGCCCCCCATCGTCCCGTTCCTCCTAAACCTCCTCCTCCTCCTCCTGCTCATGTTCCTCCTCCTCCACCTCCTCCTCCTTCCCCTCCGCCTCCTCCACCTGTTTCTCCCGTTCCTCATGATCCTCCTTCTCCTCCTCCTCCTCCTCCTCCTCCTCCTCCTCCTCCTCCACCTCCTCCCAGAACGACGACCTTGGGCAGTGCCAGCACGAACGAACGGACGCCCGAGATGTGTGCGGTGCCCTGGGGAGCCCGCCAATGCGACTTTGGACATGGCGAAAGGAGCGGAAGAAGAAAACAAGAAAAGAGCCTTCGACCTCCACCCCCTCACCCTATCTGCTCCCGTCCCTCATCTTCCTCATCCTGCTCCCGCTCGTCCCGCCCACCCCCATCCGAACACCCCCTGGCCCCGCTCGTCCTCCTCCTCCTCCTCCTCCTCCTTCTCCTCCTACGCCTCCACCTCCTCCGCCTCCTCCCCCTCGCGATATGATGATACCTCCTCATCCTCATCACCATCATCAGCAGCGCCCGCAGCGGCACCAGCACCAGCACCTGCATCATCAGCATCAGAAGCAGCAACACCATCGTCATCAGCCTGATCAGCATCTTCAACATTAGCATCATTAGCATCACCATCAGCAGCAGCAGCCGCAGCAACACCACCACCACCACCACGATCGTAAACATCAGCAGCATTATCATTACCACTACCATCGGCACCATCAGCATCATCATTTGCAGCGTCAACATCGCAATGCTCATCCTCATTATCATGATAGAGCACGTTTTACAGTAGCGGTGATATGTCTAACAAGAGCGTCGCGGCAGCGCGATGCGAAAGCGACGGGCGACAGACATAAAAGATACTTAAATCGGCTTGAAAAACAAATCCCGAGTCATCCTCGAAAACGGATGTTCTCTTGGATCGTAAAAGCTTTCTGGGGCCGCGTGGCCCTAGTAGGAGCAAGTTAGATCTGCACGAACGCTCGGCACAAAGAGGCCGGGTAGGCCTGTGCGATGCGGGCCCAGTTGACCCCATTGGGAGCGCGCCCCTCGAGGGCGAAGTGGGCGGCCCCCGCGCGAGAGCACACTCCCCTACCTTGGCACCGCCGACAGAGGCGCGAGAGGTCGGGTCGGGAGAAGCTCGTTCGCCGGCCGCGAGCCCGCGGCAGGCACAGGCCGCGGCATCGCCGCCGCAGGCGGCGCTGCGCGCCGCGCCGGGCGCGCCGGGGCAGGGGCCGAGCCGCTCATGAGCAGTTTGACCCTTAATGGCGATAGGTAAAAAGAGGAGATCGTCACAACTGAGCCAGTGCTAGATCATTACTGTGCCCGCACTCCCATCGTAATCATGATCCTCCTCCTCCTCCTCCTCCTCTCCTCCTCCTCCTCCCTCCTCCTCATCATCATCATCATCATCATCATCATCATCATCATCATCATCATCATCATCATCATCATCATCATCATCATCATCATCATCATCATCATCATCATCATCATCATCATCATCATCATCATCATCATCATCATCATCATCATCATCATCATCATCATCATCATCATCGTCGCCATCACCATCAGCAACTAGCATTACCATTATCATCATCGTCGTCAGCATCAGCATCCGCATCATCATCAGCATCGTCATCATCACCATCGTCATACACATCAGCAACAGCAACATCATCGTCAGCGTCGTAAGCATCATAATCAGAAGCAGCATCATGATCACCACCATCATCAGCATCGTCATCGTCGTTGACATCTTCCTCATCACCATTACCACGACCAACACCGTCATCGTCCTCATCCTCATCAGCATCGTCATCATCATCAGCAGCAGCGTAGTCGTCGTCAACAGCAACAACAACGTCGTCGTTGACATCAGCATCACCATTAACCTTGCCTTAGACACCGTCATGCTCATCGTCATCATCACAATCGTTAGATGCAACACTAACATCATGTTCGTGAACGGTTGGCTTCGAAAAAATGGTGACCGTGAGGAAACCTGATCGGACAAGAACGGGAAGCGCAACATTAGTCTCATTGGGCGAAGAAGAAGAAAGGGAAGGCGAGGGCAACGAGGAGGCGATGACGAGGACGACGTGGAGAACATGGGGATAGCGAGGGGAGAAGCATGAGGACAAGGAGGAGGAAGAGAAGCACAAAGACGAGGACGATGAGAACGAGGGCGAGTACGAGGAAGAATGCGGAAGGACGATAACGACGACGACGACGGAGGACAGTAAGAAACAATCGGAGAAGGATGTTGAATCAGGAGAGGGTCCTGGTGACCCTATCGGGCAACCCTGGAGGCTCCTGGAACCGCGCGGGGTTCTCGGGGCCTGTAGAGGGCCTCGTGGGGGCCTCTTGGGGGCCTCTTGTGGGCTTCTGGGGTCTTCTTGCGCCGTCGGGGCGCGTCGTGGGGTTCTTTGGGTGCTTTCTTGGGCCGTTTGGGGGCCTCCAGGGGTTCTCGGGAGTCTCTTGCCCGTCTTGGGCCGTCTTGTGCTTCTTGTGAGCTGTCTGGGTGCCTCCTGGAGCGCTCTCGTGGGTCTCTTGGGGTCCTCTTGGGGAGCTCCTGTGCGTTCTTGGGGCCATCTGGGGCGTCTTTTGGACCTCCGTTCGGAGTTCCCTCCGGGGCCGCTTGTTTAAGGACGTCTCGAGCGAAACGGCAATGTTTCAGAAACCTGACCGGACAAGAACAGGAAGCGTGACGCTTGTCCAACAGGTGTGTGAAATATATTCTGTGTGTTGGTCTGCCGCGCAGGCTTGTCGTGGCGTGCGTGCGTTTGCGCGTGCGCGTGCGTGCGTGGAGTATGTGCATGTCCGTCCGTGCCGCTCGTATTGACGGGCTCCGGCATGGTGACCAACGGCGGGGAGGTAGGCATACCACCACCGGGCGGGGCGCCTCCCACAAGGCCCTCTGGCAGGAGTTCTAGGACACGGTCGACGCCATCGACGAATCCATGTTCAGCATCAGCAAGGCCCAGGCGAGGGCTCATCACTCGACCAACGTGGTGGTCGAGTGCGGACTCGCCCCGCGGTGGCGCACGGTCGGCAATGACTTCGGCGATGAGGGCGCCACGACAGGCAGCCGCCCACACGAAACAAGGCAGCAGGTGACCGAAATGATCTGCCAGGCCGACCGCGCCAGCATCGCAGTCGAGACGTGGCGGGACGAGGTCCTGCAAGGTGGCGAAACCTTGACGAGCGCGGAGAATAGACACGGCGGCGACGGCTCGGACAACATTCGCTGCAGACAGTGTCGTTGCCGCAGCGTGCGGGATTGCGGTCTGCGTGGTGAGGGCTGCGAGACGCGCGTGTGCCGATGGCAATGCTCGGCCGCACGACACTCTGACTGAAGCGGCAGGGTCTGACTCGAAGAAGTCCCTGCACCCCCCTCCCTCTTCTAGAGACCTCCTAGATGGGGTCGGAGGATCGCGCCGCATCGCCGATACATCGACGATGCATCGGCGAGGCATCGGCGATGCAGCGGCGATGCACCGGTGATGCATCGGCGACGTCGGAGATGCATCGGCGACGTCGACGCCAAGCAAATCGGGCTCCGCATCTGGCCGTATCGGCGATGCATCGGCGATGCGGCGCGATTCTTCGACCCCATCCACTCTGGCCCCACCTAAGAGGCCCAGATCCTCTCCATCCTCGACGCAGGCCTGGAGTTCACCTGGCTCTCGAGGTCAAGCCTCTCGAGGAACGGCAGCGCCTCGGCGGGCAAGGGCCCCGCGGGCTGCACCTGGCGACGGCCGCCGGGCTCGCGGACCGGCCGAGCCGCCGCCGTCATCGTCGAGGTCGTCGCCGCCGCCGCCGCTTTCGTCGTCGTCGAGGTTGTGGAGGAGGATGAGGAGTAGAGCTTCCTCCTCCTCCTCCTCCTCCTCCTCCTCCTCTCCCTCATCTTCCTCCTCCTTCTAATTATTCCTTATCCTTATAACCAACTGCCTCTGTCGCACCCCAGACGCGTCAGCGTCGCCTGAGACGTCCTCACCACTTGTGATCCGGAAACTTGAAAACTCAGACAGCTTCAATGATGGAGGGGGGTCGATCTCAAAATGTTGCTCTCGTCGTAGCGCCGCGCAGATTCGTCTTATAAGATTGCAGCATTTTGTCGCATGGAGAGGGTGGCTTTCAAAATAGAGCACTCGCCTTAGCGCCGTGCACATTCGTTGAAAAAGTTGGCACCAGCTTCACAGATGGAGGGGCGGTCATTTTCAAGACGGAGCCATCGCCATGGCAACACACACATTCTTTCTAAAAGTGTGTTTCCAAGATATGGAGGGGGTCGCTTTCAGAATGTGGCTCCCGCCTACGCGTCGCGCGCACTCGTCTTGAAAGTTTGCAACAGTTTCAATGACGGAGGCCGTGTGCTTTCCAAATCGGGTCCTCGCCTCAGCACCGCGCACGTGCGCTGCAAGTGCTCGCAGCAGTTGTAACCATGGTGGGCGGTTCCCTTTCAACGTGGGGTTCTTGTTTGCGGATGCTCTCAAAGCAGAGACCAGAAACATGCACACGTGCAACAGCTGCACGGGCGAAGGGCGGTACCTCCTCGAAACTGGGCGCACGCTGCCAGATTTTGAGACCCAACAGCTGCACAAGAACGGAGGGCGGCCCCGTTTCAAGCTGGGATTATCGCTTGAGACGTCCTCGACGCCCATGGCCGTGACCCGAAGCCTGCGGAGGGTTACACAGCACAGTGCGGGTGGTCATTTTCCGAGACGGGGATCTCGCAAGAGACGCCTTTGAGCTGTGTGAGCATACCTTCGCGCGGTCCTCGCTCCATCTCAAAACGGGGCTCTCGCCCGATTGGCAGGCGCGCAGGGTGCTGGTCTCTCAGAGGGGCTCCTCTGGAAGTGGAGAGAGAAGCTCGTGGGGACTCTGGAGGGTTCTTGGGAAGGGAGGGCTCTCCGGACGGAAGAAGAAATAGTTATTCGCCCAAAATGGTTGGGGCCCCAATCCGTCAAGAAGCCCGCGCACAACATAGTGACGTTCCCTTTTGGGGGGGGTATCAGAGACCTAGCACGGTCATTGCAACAGCGTTGATGCATCCTGGGCTTACTCTGGCCATCACCATCCTCCTCCTGCTCTCCCTCCGCCACCGCTGTCCCATGGTGCGCTGGGGCAGGCGGGTGACGGTGACCACGGGCGCCCGCAGTGGGAGGCAGTGGGAGCCATAGGGACCTCGGGAGCCTGCGTGATTAGTGGAACTGGGCTCGCATGTCAAGACCGCCCGCGGCGACAGCTCAACACCATACCGACCGAACCGACGCCGAAACCAAAACCGACCGAAAGAAGGAAACCCACAAGGGCCCTCCAGAGTCACTTCACAAGCGCCCACTCGTGTTCACAGCCCCTGGTGGGGCACCGGGGGGAGGACGCAGTGGAGGTACAAGAGATCTTCGGCCTGGATTTATGTCCGAGGTCCTTCGGGCCTGGGTTCCTGTTCGAGGTCGCTCGTACCTGAGAAATGCACCGATCCAAAATGAATTGAATAATCTAAGCTATGACTCTACCAATCTGAACGCTCGATGATGATGGGCTGACCCTGACAACTAACCCGCCACCTTGCCTTCAGCATGGAGTGGAGTGACCCAAGGAACAAAGCTGTGATGGCGATTATAGAATTCGTCGGAATCTGAAGAGACCCCGACACCTTTACTCGCGGAATTCAGGGGCGCTTTCGGTCGCTGCGAGGCACTCCAAGGATGCCGCGCGCGGCTGTTCCCGAGGAAAGAGCCCCCCCAACACGGGCAATTGGGTCACAAGAGGGCGCCCCAGGAGGGCGCCAAGAGCCGTCCCTGAGGCCTCAAATTGGCATCTCGAGAGACCCTAATGTGCATCCGTGGGCCCCCGTCCACGACCCACAAGCACGGTCGCGGGATGGCCTGAAACCCACAAGATCCGCCGCCCCCTGTGCTTGTCACAGGGGTGCCGGGAGTGCTGGATGCTTTCGGTTTTGGTGTTGGTTCTTTTTCTGAAAGAACTCTCCCCTGGCGGCCATGCGGAAACTGCGCCAGCCAATGCCTTTCACGCCCAAGATGGCCCCAAATGGACTCCAAGATGCCTCCAAGACGGCCAAGATGGCCCAAGATGGCCTCCAAGTCCGCCTAAGATGGTCCAAGATGGCCTCCAAGACGGCCCAAGAGGGTCCGAGGTGTCTCCAAGTCCGCCCAAGAAGCGTCTAAGACAGCCCAAGACTGCCCAAGGGGTGGCCAAGAGGCCTCACGACGGCCCAAAAGGCCTCCGAGAGGGCCTCCAGGAAGGCCCGCAGGGGCCAAAATCATTTAGTGTCCTAAGGTTTTTGAAGGATTGTCGTATTTGCTCCTTTTCGGCCTTCGACGGTCCAAGGCGGCCCAAGAGGCCCCCAAGATCGCCCCCAGAGCGCCCAACAGGCACCCAAGATGGCCTCAGGACTGCCCAACCAAGAGGCCCCCAAGATGGCCCCAAGAGGACACAAACACGGCCCAAGAGGCCTCCAAGACGCCCAAGGAAGCCTCGAATACGGCCCTGGAGCATTCCAAGAGGGCCCCAAGTCGGCCCAGAGAGGTCCCCAGAACGGCGTCCGACGGCCCAGGAGCCCATCGAGACGGCCAAAGAGGCCTCCAAAAAGCCCCCAAAGGCCCCCAAGAAGCACAAGGAGGCCCCCAGGATACCTCCGAGAGGCTACCAGGAAGCTAGGAGGCCCCAAGAGTGCCCCCAGAGGATCTCAAGATGCCCCCTCGTCCTTCTCATCCTCCTCCTCTTCCTCCACCTCCTTCACCTCCTCCTGTCACAGGATAAAGGGGGCTCTGAGAGTAAAGGAGTGTAAGAGAGAGGGCGGAGGATACTTTATGCACGCGCACTAGAACTCTCGGCGACTCAAAGGGGAGAGTCGCCTCCCAAGCCAAAATGGCTGTGCACTACTGCAGGACACATAGGGGAGAGAGAGGGAGAGAGAGAAAGGAACCCGGGACCCACGACGAGCCGGGTGACGATGACAGCGCACCCAACTTTGGTGGGTCCTGCAGCGGGGACTCCGCTTCTGAACCCACCCTGGCCTCGAACGCGAGGAAGACGGGCGCTCCCGGCCCCTCGCGCCTGGCCTGCAGGCGGCCGCCGCCGGCGATCTGCGGGGGGCGCCGGCCTGCCTCGGGCTCCTCCCGCCGCTCTCCTCCTCTCCTTCTGTCCTTCTCCGCCCCCTCTCCTGCCTCACCCCTCTTCCTCCTCAGAGCTTCCTCGTCCTCCTCTGCCTCTACCTCCTCCTCCTCCTCCTCTTTCTTCCTCGGGGTGACCTTCGCGCCGCTCCTCTGAGGCGCGCCCTCCTCCTCCTCATCCCTCCTTCTAGCCTCCTCAAGCAGGGCCTTACGACTGGCCCCGGGACCGGGACTTGAGGGACAGGTTGAGCGAGCGCTCATCGAGGTGCCCGCCCTCGTCGACCAGGCACAACGTGCCTCGACAGAGCAGGTCATGCAACGCCAGGTTACTCTTGGCCGGGTCCGCATGCGTAAGCGGATCCGCCGGCATACGCCCATGGGGCAACCACCGAATCTGGGACCGACCACAGCGAGTTCCACCGCATTCCTACGGTCGGACCGGGACCCAGCGGCATTCTTGCTGAGAGTGTCGAACACTGACTTCGCGTCCACCACGGCCAAGGACGCAGCTCGATTGCCCAACTCACAGGATGAGGACATCACGACAGAAAAGGGAGCCGCGCTCAGGTGCCAGGTAGGTTTCTGAACGTCCCCGAACACTGCATCCCGCCACAACACTTGAAGATACTGAGCCTCGGCCACGGCACCGCTCAAGGCCAACGTTTCTGCGGCAACGGTGGAGCTGATGACTCTCTTGAGTCTCTGGGAGCGCCAAGACAAGAGCGAGACCCTGGCCCGGCGATTGGCCCGGATGGAGGCATCGGCGGCCATGACCAGCCACGCGCCCTGGGACCCTCCGCGACTAGCCGACCCCGGGCCGGAGGCATCAGACGCCGCCACGAAGACAAGGGAAACGGGGTCGAGAGCCCAGATCGTCAGCCTCTGGGAGGCCGTGGCCTTCAGAAACTTACAAACCTTGCCCAGCAACAACGCGTGAGACACCAGCGGCGTGGGCATGGCTCCGGCCAGGATCGACGCGGCTCCCGCCACGTCTGGACGCGACTCTCTGGCCACCCACTGCACCTGAGCCACCACCGCCCGATACGACTTGACCTCAGCCGCTGAAAGAGGAGACTCGGGATCGCTGCGACGAGATCGATCGAGAGGCATCACAGTCAACTGTTCCCGAATGTATTTTTCTTGATCGATGGTGATCCGATCCTGGAACTGGCGAAGATGGCGCCCAGCGAACTCCGAGTCCGACTGACACCACTTCCCGAAACGGAACCTCGCCGTGGCTTTCTCCTTGAAATTCTCCAAAAAGGCGGGACCCCCGGACGCGATGAGGTCGTCCACCTCAATGAGCACAGAACCCTCAAGCTTGCCCCAGCGGCTCCTTTTTCAGCCACAGGCACGGTTCCAAGAGAGATTTGGTAAAACCTTCCCCGACGAGCCAGTCAGTCAGAGTGCGATGCCACAGAAGCGGGGCATCGTTGAGACCATATACGGGCGCCACCAGTTCTATCAACTGATCGGGGCCTATAGGCAACCCGGAGCACGGCTCAACGAAAATCGCGCCACGGGGGCGCTCCAGTCGCTGGCTCTGGCAGAAAGCATTCTTTGCGTCCGCGATGGTCAAAGTCCATCCAAACGAAGCAGCAATCTGCAA